CTCTATAGGAGCAGAAACACCAAAACACGACACAATAACATTCACCCCTTCTTCATAATATTTAGGAATCACAAAATTATTATCAGAGAACATATCTTCATCAGAAGAAAAGAACTCATCAACAGAAACAAGTTTATCACCAGACATGGCCTCAACCGAGAAATCTTCAATCACATTAACTCCATTGTAATCATCTCTATTGCTTGTGACTTTGGTAGTTACATTATCTAACAACAATTGGACGTCTCTTATTACGATAGAACAACCACGAGAATCCTTACAGCAGATTTAACAAGACCCGTAATGGTGTTCTTCTTGGCCATCCATGTGACAGAATGTACCGTGCAGGTGTACCAAATCATAATTCATATAATTCACATAAAAAATATGGAATTCACCGGGACATCCATAAACAATATTCACGTCTTCTTCGTACTCAGCCCTTGGCCTAATTATATGGATAAGGCCTCCCTCCATCGTCTCTTGAAGATCAACTCTTATCTTATCACATCCCTGGATATCTATACTGCAAATACTACAACCGGCATGGTCGTGCGTATAATATATAAATTCACAGAGATCAGCATGCATCTTTACTAAATCCCCTCTAACCAGGTTGATATCAAAAATTTGAAAGTCCCCAGGACAACCAGCAACCATATTTACAGCATTTGCACCTCCATGTTTGGGTAAAGGATTATCTTTCACATTAGGACCAAGATCTTTAAAGGATAGGAGGCCAGATCTCACCATCTTCTGTACCTCAGATTTCAAGGGATAACAGTTTTTGACATTGTGCCCTGGGGCTCCTTGATGAAAGGCATAAGTTTGATCCACCTTGTAATACCATGGTAAAGGTGAAGGTATAGCAGGGAGAGGCCTAGTCTGCACCAACTCTTTCTGAATCAAAGCCAGAAACAACTTCGTATATCTCATTGGAATAGAGTTAAAAGTCTCTCTCCTCTGACTTTTCCCTTGATTTTCCTGAGGAGATGGTCTCTGGTAGGCAACAGCAGTCGGAGCTACATTGACGACTGGAGTTACAGAAGCAACCTATTATTGGTACCGATGATGTCTTCTAGGTGGTCTCAACTTCCTTTCTTCAATGACAACATTTGTTTCACTTTCTTTCTTCCTATAAAACTTGTATGATGACTTCTTGGTTCCTTCATCTTTCGTCAAGCGTCCTTCTTTGATAGCTTCTTCTAGACGAACACCCATGCTTACCATCTCAGTGAAATCACTCGATGCACTGGTGACCATCTTTTCATAATAAAATAATCCAAGGGTTTTCAAGAAGACCTTGGTCATTTCTTGTTCTCCCATTGAAGGTACCACCTGAGCAGCTACCTTGCACCAATGTTGTGCGTATTCTTTGAATGACTCCTTGTCTTTCTGAGCCATCGCTCTCAATTGGTCACGGTCAGGCTCCATAAACATATTATACTTATATTGTTTGATAAAAGCTTCACCTAGATCATTGAAGGTGCAGATATTGCTACTGTCCAAACCCATATACCACTTCAAAGCGGCACCGGTTAAACTATTCTGGAAGAAATGAATAAGCAAACACTGATCATCATTATGGGTGGATATTTTTCTGATATACATCACCAGGTGGTCACGAGGACAAGAATTTCCCTTATACCTCTCAAATTCTGGCACTTTAAACTTCACTGGCACTTTTACATTAGGAACTAGGCAGAGTTCACTGACATTCTGTCCGAATAATTCTTTTTCTCGAAGAGCCTTCATTTCTTTTTGCATCTCAATGAATTGGTCCTGAAAGTCATCCAATCGATCATAGAAATCCACACTTTCACTTGATGGAGGAACATGATGATAAACTTCACCATTAACAAACGACATATCATTCACCATATGAGGTGCAGTATAACGAATCTCATTTTTAGCAACAGGAGTAACATACACCACATGAGACGCAGGAATAGCAGCACCTTGAGCCAATGGAGCAACTTGAGCATCAAGATTGTAACCTTCTAGTATGAAATTTTCATGCATTCCCCACGGGTAACCCTGAGACATGTAGTTTTGAATAGCAGAAACTGGAGTAACGAAAATGGAAACTGACGAAACTTCAGAAGCAATCGTTGTTTGTTGTGGCTGAGCCATATGAGGAGACGGAGGAGCAAGTGGTGACTGATTCTGAGCAGCCACCAACGATTCCATCAAAACAATCAGATTAGCCATACCAACCTTCAAAGCAGTAACTTCTTCGTGCAGCTCGCGATTCTCTTGTTCAAGATTCTCCATTTTCTTCCTGGAATTAGCCAGAGTATTGTATCGGTGAGACAACTTGCTTCTGAATGAAGTAGAGGAACACAGTAAGACACCTGGGTATGAAAAGAAATGCAAGAAATATTTGCAAAATGATGCATGATATGCAATGCATATGATTTATTTATCATTATTAATATTTCAAGAAACTCAAAGAATTATGGACATTTTGCCAATATTAAAGTACTAACATATTTTGAAATACTGAAAATTTTATTATAACAATAACTTTGAAATAGATTACAACTTTTAGTACAAGTTTCAATAATCCCGAATACAAGAGAATGAAGATAGAATTCTAAGGAGCCAGAGTTGATGAAGATCACTCCACACGCTGATACTTTCTCACGAGTCTTGTAATCTGAGCCTTCAACTGCTTGTTCTCTTCTGCATACCTGTTGGCGACTTCTTTCCAATCACCAGAGTCCGGAAGTGGGTAACTAGGTCCTGACTGAGCTCTAGAGAAAAATAAATCTCTTTGCTTCTTCATCATTTCCACAACACGACTCTCAAGAGAGAGAGAAAGAGAGAGAGATTTTTTTACATTTTTAATTCATTTCACGTATTCTTATAATTGTTGAATCTATACGAATGTTCCTAAGATATAGGATCTAGAGACACTTGTCCTCATCTAAAAAAAATAAGAGAAAATTTCTAATTATTCTTATTATTATCTTTTGCTAGATACAAACAGTAAAGAGGTAAAGAGGGCCAAATAATGACAGCTCATTAAACTTATCCTTTTCCAAAAATGCTTCTAGAGAATGATTTTTCTCAAGTTCTGAATCTACTGGGCATTTTGTCTTGGGTCTTTCCCTTGGCCCAATGCTGAATTACTGTTGTCATTTTTTGGTTTTTCCTTGATTTTTTGTGCTAAAGTGGCTTTGATTTGTAACAACATACTTTTCTTATATAGGTAGATTAGGGTTTTCTAATTATTTATAACAGTAATTAATATATTTCCATCACGAGAGATTTCGTAGATGTTTTAATCGAACTGACAAGAACAAAAATACATTTGCATTACTCATTGAGATGCCTATCATTCTTCGCTTCTTTTCTTTTTTTGGACAACATCATTGTTCGCTTTCTAGTCAATGAAACATTTGTAGATATTTCAAAACTTGGGCTGAAGAATATCATTTTTGCATGTTTAAAATGGAGGGAAAAAAAGTTTACAAAAGGAATAAAATTCAAAAGAAATGCAAAATACAAATTGCAATGTCGATTTGCTTTTAAACGCCAAAAATGTGAGGAAACTTGCGCGATGGTTCACAACTTTCCTTGTGCATTTGATCCGTAGCACGTAACATTAGTTTATTCGAGAAAGGAAAACACATTCAAATCTGATTCGTATTCATTGAGTAGTAAATCATTGAGTCCTAAAGCATTGAAGAAAAAAATTGATGCACGATACTAATCTTTTTTGGACAACATCATTGTCCTAATTAGCTGGAGTTCGAGCAGTGGTTGAAACAGTGCATAGGAACTTGTGGAATTGGCTGAATAATTTAATTATAAGAGTTTAAATCGAAGTGTATTTCATGGTACATGAATCACAATTTATGCTTTGGAGATATATTAAGTGGTAACTCTGGACCGGCTGTGTTTTTATCAGTGTGCTACTCGGGTGCATTAATTTCGGGACTGGTTCTTGGCATTTCTTGTGCATATTCATTCAGTTTGTATGGTTTCGGTGAAAGATGACTTTGCCTTGCAGCTACAGAGTTGAGTATGGTGACTGTGAATATCCTACTGGATACTAAAAGCTGATTTCGTACTGAGTTGAATGGTTAAGATATTCAGGGCTGTATCTGTAGGATGGATAAATAGCTTTCTGGCTATTTTACTTCAGTGTAGTTTGGTTGATGTGCCAGCAATTTGATTCTTCTTCTGCTGTCTGGCTTGGGTGCTTTGGTATTTGTTCAGTTTGGTTTGGTAGGTACGGTTGGAGGAAATCGTGAAGCCGACAAATTTCTGCACCAACCAACTCATCAGGATGTTACTTCCACTGGCAACAACTAGCAGAAATTTGTTACAAGTGTTATGAATGTATAGGGTGCTATTTAGTATTGGGAGACTGATGTCATTGACAGGCTGGTTGGCTATTTAGATCTTGGTGTTAAATTGTGTGTAGAAATGAGGTTTGGCTTGTAATTAGGATGGAGGACTGTGTGTAGCAGGTTTTCTGTATATTATGAACTTTTTGTATTCCTAGCATTTGACTATTTTCTGAAGTAACTCTGATACTCTCAGCAGTAAGAGAAAAAGAAAAGTTTCATTTGATAAGTGGTATATAAGAATAACAAACACCGTTTGAAATTAATAAAATTGCTAATAGTACATTGTATCACTTCCTAAAATTCTAGAAAATTGAAGTGAAAATTTAGTAAAAAATGAACTACAATGGCCTTGCAATTTTAAAACCGAACATCATGTGAGTTTCCACATGTGTAAATTTCCACATTTCACGGGACTCTTCACTCATGGTTAAAGCTGTAACTGTACTGTATGCTAGGAAAACCACAAGGCATTTATCTTCTGTAAGAGAGTACAGAACTAGCATAGATAAAATTAACGTTATGATTATAATTAGATATTTAAACTTTGCGAATCATGGGCAAAGTGTGACATGACTGAATACAGATGAATCACGTGAGGCTGAGAAGGCTTACTGAGGCCCTTGATGTTGGCCAAATATTTCAGTGCTCCAAAAATTCAATCTTTGCAAGATGATTATTCATACGGTGAGTATCGTCAGCTGATAATCGATCACCAACCATAAGTTTGAACTGTTCAAATTTTGCTTTTTCGCACTTTAACGCAGCAGTTTTAGTAGCCTGTAAATTCCCTGAACCCAAAGGTACAATTTCATTAGAGTTATATGTTCCTGAATCAAACTAATAAGCAGAACATGATAGTGCGTTGATATGGCGATGCATCATGAATTCCTGTTAATTGGAAAAATAAAAAGTGATGCAATCTATATCTAAATGTTACAAGACACAGTCCAATCATGCAGCATATGTTCTTACCAGATAAATCAAGCAAATTAAACACCACTGGGAAATTTCCAATACTTTTGACCATTGTAATGGAAGCCCATACTTTTTCATGCTCCTCTCTCGAAGCTCTAATGATGCACACATTAGTGATTGGATTCACATACTTAACTGCACACAGAGACCCCAAAGTTAAAATTATCAAATACAAGAAAGTGAATTTAACTCGAGGAAATTACTCGGCAGAATAAAAACAATAAAAGAAGAATTATCAGCAACCTGTTTGTTACTCACCCTGAAATGATCCCAGTGATGCAGCCAAACCACACTCCCCAAAATTCACCAAAATGCTATCTTTTATAGCATTAGCGACATTAAATTGGGTTATTATAATAGAATCACCTGATGCTTGATCTCTATTAGGATTCATAAAAACCTCCATCACCATGTACCTGTTTTTGAACACCATCGCTCTTTTTCTAGGACCCAAAATCTAAGTTTCAAAATATCATAATACAAATCAATAGAGTTCATTAATAATTATTAATTTCACGGCATATTATACAATCAACAATTTAACATTGGGCAAACACTTTTCTGAATCAAGATCGCTGGTGCGTTTAATCTCACAAGATTCTACAACTCTATGTACAAACCAATTATTCTTTTTTTTTTGGACATATAGTGTATAGAATAAGAGTTATAAATCACGGGGAATAGCGGTGCTATCTCAGGAGCGCAGTGTGGAGCGGTGGTAGCAGTTCGCATCTCGGTTTGAGATAGCGAATGCTTTTTGGCTTGGAACGGGTCGCGGGAGCGGAGCACTTCCTGGCCCGAAGCGGGTTGAAACCCGCTATCTGTTTTGAATGCGAAAAACCATATTTACCCTTAAAAAACGTTGGAAGAGTTTTTCTAGAATTATGCCCAATTTCCGCTAACTCAGAAAACAGAGGATTCGAAACCTCACTTCCTCACGTGTTTCACTTTAGTTCTCATAGATTCGTGCTTCTTCGGAAGCTTATGCCGTTCGAGAACAAGGAACCCTCTAGTAGCTGAATCACGGTCCGTCTTCTTCTCAATCCGATTCTTCGCTTCTCACAACAAAAACCCCATTCCCCTTATCGAATCTCAGTACAAACCCTTTAACCCCTTTACACAAATCAGATTCTTCACTGGTCTGAAAACAAATACGCAACATTTCTGGTATTGTTTTCGCGAAATCAATCTCAAAAACCAAGGGTACAAACTAAACACAATCAAAGCAAAATCTAGAAACAAAATCCGGAAAATCAAAAACCATTACGCAAGTAAAGAGGAAGAGGACAAACCTGTGAGAATCGCACAACCGAGAGAGAGAGAGAGACGGGAGAATTTTAGGGTGCAGATGATCTACTGTAAGTCTGGTGCTCCGATTCAATCTAACGGTGTAACTTTATTTCAGATGAGATTACCGTTGACTATGGTGGAGGCAACTATTGAATTGAATTAAGAAACCCTAGAAATTAATCAACTTCGGGTTATGGGCTTTGGCCCGTTAAGCCCAAGTCGGGGCCCATGGTATATGTAGACACGTGTCCATATCTGATAGGAACAGAGAGTCTTCGCGGTACGGCTTTTTATCTCTAGTTCTTATCCGGTTTTATTTAACAAAAAGTTTAAGTTAAATGATTATCTTAATTAACACACATTGACAGCGTGGAGATTTTGTTACCGAACACGTGCTATAAAATAAAAATAGAGATCTATGAAGATTTTTTTGGTAAGAAGATGAAGTAAGACGTTACTATTTTTGTCATAAAGTTAAGACTTTATTAATTAACTATTATTAATATAATAAAATAATATATTATCAAAATTAATTCGATATTTTTTGAAAAACTTAATGATAGACTTAATTAATTTCAAGGATAATATAGATAATTTGTAAATGTAATAATTATTTTAAAAAATAATAATAATAATTAATAATAATTCAATTTGGCACGTGACAGATCGATAATGATGGACATAAATGTCTTTTCTATGACATATATTTTTTTATATTATAGATTGTATAAGATTAAAAACAAACCATTAAACAAATTGATTTGTGCTATTAGATAGTTTTTATGAACACTTTTGATTCAAGACACAAGAATATAAATATATGAGAAGAATTTATCTGCGAAGAATTTTTAATTTATTTTCTAAACTTTGTCCGGTTCAAGCTACGAATCCAAGTGTGGTTGTGGTTGTGTTGATTGATTGTTATTTTTCTTGTGAAAATTGAAATTAAATTCGTAAAAACTTTGTAATCGAACAGAGTCGAAACAAAGAGATGATTATCGAAACAAAACCGTAATAAGTGACTTACAAGAGATAAAGAGTTTGGATCTGAGTTTTGAGGTTATGCAAACGAAATCGAAACTATGAAAACAAGATAAGGAACCGTGAGAATGAAAGCAAGATTGTTGTTGTTTGTTTTCATGAGATTTGGAAAGAACAAAGAGTGAGAGAGCGAGTTTGGGAACAAGGAGAGAAAGATGAAAAGAGAAACAAAGATGAGAAAGAATCGACGTTGAATAGAGAGATGAAGAAAAAAAACATAAGTGTGGCAGACAGAGGGAGGTATCGTGTGGTTTATTTTACATATCTTACTTTTAATTGATCATTCATTAATTGATTTAATGTTTTTTCTCTTTACCTTTTTCTTTGATTAATAATTAGGGTTTCTAATGGATCTTACAACATTTTTTAGTCTCATTCTTTGATATTATTTAAATTTTCTTTTTTCTGTTCTGATTATTATTTTATTAAAGAATATCTTAAACATCTTAAACTAATAAAATATATATTTTTGACGGATCAATATTATTTAATTTGTATATATTTTATATACATTTCTTAACTATCATTATATTATATTTATTTGCTATTTATAACGATATTGCACAACCATGCAAACACACGGGTAGATAATTAATTTTATATGTGTGTGAAGTGTACTAGACCGTATACTCATATTTTTCAATATAATTTATATTTATATCTTGACAACTACTACAACGTAATAAATTAAATTAAAATTTATGTGATAATCGTCATTTAAAGTTTTTTTTCTCTTAATTCATATATATTTTTATATACATTTCTTAACCATAACTATATAATCTTTATTTAATATTTATATCGACTTTACGCGACCCGTGTGAATGCACGGGTCCTTTACTAGTTATTATCTGAAAATAAAAACCAAAAATTATGAAACGTGAATCTTTTAATATGTATCAGACGTCCATATCTTTATAAGTATACGTTTAAAATATCTCATTAACATAAATAATTTTTTAATTTGAATTTAATGGAAATATACTCATCGTGCAAAATATTTTTACATTGACAGTGAATTGTAATCATCAGATTTTAAATTATATTTAATTTTTATTTTAATTATATATAAAGTAATAATTATGAATGATTTTGATGAATTGATCGTGTAAAAGTTTTTACATTGACGATGCATAATCATCAATCCTTGTAATTTTCTTTATATTTAATATAACTTTATGAGAAAAAATGAAATGTCTTGACCGTGTAGAATTTTTTTATACTGTCAATCAATGAGAAACATACATCACAATAAATTTTATTTTTATTTTTAAAATAATATAATGACATGGCAAATGCAAGAACTTTGATTGATTATATGTGTAAAATTGTTTTCCACTTACGGTGCTTTATCTTTAAACTCTAACTTTATATCCATGTGTATTAGATATTAATAGTGTAGTGTGCGTGTGTGTGGCCTAGTGGTGAAGGTTGTTAAATTGTAATTTATGTGTGTCAAAACTATTTGTGTCGAAGGGTTAAAGGTTGTCAAAGTAGATTGCTCAATGGAAATCATTGCCCATTCGAAGAGCTTGTGAATCGAAGCAGGCTACACATAAATTTAATTTGTTTTTAGATTTAGATTTGATTTAGATTTAAAATAGATATATTTGATTTAGTTTTAAAATAAATATTTTGGGTTTTCATAGTTTTGGGCTTTGACTTATGGAGAAAACTAACATAAATCTATAAATAGAGGGAGTAACTTCTATTTTTGTAATCAAATCAATTCATTGCATTCACAGAATTTGCAGTTGCAAGTGAATAATAAAGTTTCCCAAAGTTTGTGGGTAGAGAAAAACTCTACAAAAAATAATTATCTTCTTTCTTTTCTTTTCATATAATTCATTGTCATTGTGTGGCGATATTAATCTTGTTCATCAAGATTGGTAGAAATTCATCATAGATTTTGGTGGATTTCCAACACCTGGTATCAAGAGCTTCTGTTGAGTAATTCAAGGGAAGAACGATCGAGGAAGAAGAAAAAGAAAAAATTCATGATGGCAATGAATTACGCTTCAAAAATTTTCCAACAAGTCTCCCAATTCTTAAAGATGATAACTATGAGAATTGGTGCAAACAAATGAAAAGGTTATATTTTGTTTTCAAGGTGTTTCGAATCTTGTAAAACATGGATTAGAACCACTTGATGAATACTCTTTAGAGGAAGAAGAAGTTGCATATAGAGAATCAAAAAAGAAGAATTATAAATCTCTCTTTATAATTCACCAATGTGTCAGCCCAGACAATTTCAAAAAAGTTAATGATATTGAATCTGCAAAAGAAGTCTGGGAGATTCTGAAGAAATCGTTTGGAGGCGCTGAGAAGGTGAAAGAGGTGAGGTTACAAACTCACAAAAGAACGCATGAATTGCTTAAGATGGAAGATAGTGAGAGCATATCTGATTTCTCACTAGGGTTACAAAACTAGTGAATCAAATCAAGGTATATGGGGAAACATTAACAATAAGAGATGTTGTTTCGAAGATCTTGAGATCTTTAGCTATAAAGTTTGACCATAGAAGAGTCAAAGAACATGTCATCTTTGTCGAAGGAAGAGCTTCAAGAGACGCTTGAATCTCACGAACAAAAAATGGTTGAAAGAGGTGCAGGCAAGTCGAAGAGTGGTGTGGCTTTGCAGACTCAATCAGTAAGAGAGAAGAAAGGCAATGGGAAGTGGTCGGTAATAAAGGTAGAGGTGGCTACAACAATTCGACTGGTAGAGAAAACTAGCACAAAAAAAAGTGTTGAATCAGAGAAGACCATACCAATGCAACTAAAGAGGTGGTGTTGCGAATAGAGGAAGAGGTGGTGGTCAAAAACCTAACAAGAGTCACATTCAATGTTATAATTGTCAGAAGTATGGTCACTATTCGAGTGATTGTCCAGAAAAGTGAAAGAATCAAGAAAGTGATGCAAAGTATTAAGAAGAGGAGATGTTGCTGATGGTTACGACAAGAGATGAAGAAAAATTCAAGGATCAATGGTGCTTAGATTTAGGATGCTCATCACACATGTCTGGAAGGAAAGATTGATTTGTCAACTTAAAACCCTCAACGAAGAACACGGTAAAATTCGCAAACGATAATACTTTAGCAGCTGA